AGTAGGAGTAGCAGTAGCAGTAGGCGTAGCAGGAGTGGCAGCAAAAGTGGCAAAAACAGTGGCAATAGCAGCACGAGTAGCAGTTGCAGTAGTAATAGCAGTATGAGTAGCAGGAGTCGCAGTATGAGTAGAAAAGAAGAAGTAGGCGTAGCATGAGTGGCAGTAGCAGTAGGGGTAGCAATATCAGTAGCAGAAGCAGGAGTAGCAGGAGTAGCAGTAGGGGTTGCAGCATGGGTATCAATAAAAATAGCAGCAGTAGTAGTAGTAGTTGTAGCAGTGGCAGTAGTAGAGTAGTAGCAGCAGCAGTACTAGTAGTAGATCTTCGATCTCAAGTGTTCATTACAGCTCACCGGTATAGCCAATGTGGGGCTGCATAGCCAATAGTCACCTGTATAGCCAATGTCATCCCGTGGGGCAGCCTGAACTACACAAAATCATTGCAATGCATTTCACGAAATCCCTCAGGTCAGCCTGGATAAACCCAGAATGCCAATGTGCCTTTTGCAAAGGGATTGAATTGGGTTACATCGTCCGGCCTGTCAGGCAAACATGTAGGGGTTGTCTGCGGCATCAGAAACCCAGAGTCATAGAATAGTTTCTCCCGCAGGGGAAAGAACGGGTCTCAAATCGCTCATCCCAAAATTCCGACGGGTAAGCATAAAAAACTTGCTTGTTGCTAGCTACCTTTGATCACAATTCTTCAGTGACAACGATGATGGGTGGAGCCAAAACTTCTCTTAACAAATAAACCAGCAGCAACATTAGAAATGCGACGAATCGCCCGTAAATGATGCTTCAATGGCTTAGACCACGGTGCGGGACGGTCGGCGTCAATACGCGCGGCCGGCGGGACCGGCCAAATGTTCGTCTCAGCAACACACGGAACGCATCATTTTGCACGGATGAAACGGCGAGTTCTGCAGTGGCGGAGGTTTTGGGATTACGTTCAAAGTACTGCAAAATACGAGAACGTTTTCGGCGGACACTGGACGCCATGAACTGGGCTTTACGTCCGTGTCCATTTCACGGACGCGGAATGCTTAGTTTATGCACCAGCGGGATGAATTTAATTGTTTTCGAAAACAGCGACGCTGCCCCCTCCCCGGTTGATTGTTGGAGTCATCATGCATCCCACAGCATTAGGCTGGCTACGTGATGTGTGGATAGTAAAAATACCTGTACAATGCGGTTGGCTTCATGTTGTTATTTGCTAGGGTCACCGAAATCTGATCTGAAAATATGAAAATCACAGTCCTGAAAAACCCTCCAAAACCGTCGAATACGCTATTTACCCACGAGTGCAACCAGGCTTCGGTGTGCATCGATGCGCTTTCCTGCCTGTAAGATTGCCCGTTGTTTCTGAGTCGACAAGTTTTGATACCGTTCCGCTGTGATCCACCTTAGCAACATATGAACCGGGTAGCAACATGCGTTCCGGCAATTTTTGGCCATTCGCCAATTTTACGTTTCGCCCGCCTTACATTGTTGCGGCACGTTTGCACGCGTCGACCGCGCCCAGCCACTCCGGATCCGGTCCCGAAGGTAATGCAGTGCTGCCCCCACTGGCCTAGCCACACGCGCAATTTCACGTGGCCTGCTGGCATCGGTGCCGAGCGCAAATGCATTCGTACGCGACAGACAGACCGACCGACGATTCGAGAATTTTAACATAGATTGTTCTCACGCGATTCGCTATATTACCATTTGTGAAGTTTACCATATTACCAAAGCTTGTTAAGATTCAGGTACCGTGCCGGCATGACCTATATCCTACTCTCGTTTCCGACCTTGGCGTTTTCTCAAACATTTAAAACTTCAGATGACGGACCGTTTTGACTATTTTGCCTGTTCCAGATAAGGCGCTTGGATTTAAACACTTGCTTCCGCACCGTGCTAATTTATGTTGCATTGCATTTGATTTCCTGCTTCATAAACAGACTTAAGCACAACGCTCCCAAACGTCCTCCACGGCCAGATAACGACGTTGTCGGCATTATACACATAACCTAGCCAGATATGTAGATATTGTCCACCCATGATGCGTCTCCGCAGTATCTTCATATGATAGCACGGACGTCAATGAGACGACCGATCGCAAGGACCGAAACAGAGTACGAGGGCTATGCGACGCAGACAGCTTGGTGGGGACCTTTGAGGAGAGCACGGAACGATCCATCGATACCACCGGGATCACAGATGCCGCACGTAAAGATCCAGCCTGGAAGACGAGATTGGCGACATCTGTACTAGGAGACACGAATTTACAAATGCAGTAGTCACAGTGGACAAGGATATTGCTTACGGGAATAGATGACTAAAACACCGCCTCGCCCACCTTAAGGCGGCCCAGCGTTCATTATTTCACGTCACGAGGCGGGAACTGCCACGCCTGGGGCCCACATGTCTCTAGCTTCGTATCTCTGGAGTCAGTATTGGCACTGGAAAAAATGAGCAAATTTTGCATCTCTGCATAAAAATATAACCCGCTTACCTTAAATTTGTTTAGCCTTGATCCCGTAACTTGCGTGGCATCATTTGTAGCGAAGCAACTCGGAGATGGCTGCCGGCGAGTGCGAGTGTATACCGAGTGACCCTAGGACTCGCAGAGATCTGCGGCAGGTGCGACGCGAAACCTCTCACTTCCTTCTGCTTTGCAAGTGAGAGTAATTCCATCCTAGTTCAACTTCGACCTGCGGCTACTTCAAGCCACGCCCGATGGTCCGCCCAAAAAGCGAAAATCGCAATGAGTCATGTAGGGCGAACTATGCTGGTTCATCATCAGATGGCATGTCAGAATCTCCTACCAGCCCATTGGAGCGTGCCAAAACTTGGAAACCCAGGCAGAAAGTCACTGCCAATAACGTGACCTTATGTCTGCTTGTCATTTTGATCTGATAGACCACGCATTGACTGGTTAACCACGAGGTTTGGGAAGCCAAAAGTTGCCTCTGCAATTAAAAAGAAGAGCTTTTCCCGAACTCAGCTGATATTCTGCTCAAAGCACGGGGTCTGGAACTCTCCAACTGAATCGGAAACTACACCCCTGCGGGTTGCTGCCAGCTACAGTGTCAGATTACAGCCGCAGCGAGAGATATGCAAACGGTCTAGTTTACCAATGGTGAACAACATACCAATAACATTTACCAATGGTGTTATATTTTTGTGGCCGGACCTACCATGGCCTTTGTGTGCTTCGCATGTGTAGAGCTGATGACCTGGTTCACACATAAGTCTGTCACAACGTCCCACCGCATAATGGGGATAACAGGTAACAGCTCCAATCACTGATGGACCACATGGCACATCAGCTTTTTTACAGTGTTTGCCAATTCTTGTTTACTGTCAAATTTATAAGTATGGTTGCTTCTCGACATATTTCAGCTGACTTAAAATCCAACATGCTATTCTGTAGCATACCAAACACTCCAAGCTGCAAAATGTCTATGGTGGCAAATTTACCTGGTCCAAAAGAAAGGATTGCTGCATGCAAGTCAATGTCATACAATCAACTGCCTACAAAAGGTGCTTGCTAGTGATGTATCTTGAAATAAACTTCAACCCATATGTCACACCATGTGTAAGGTGATGTGATGGGCACATGTTTGTCACAAAACAAAAACAAAATATATGTGTATGGCAATGTGCTTACAGAAAGACAATTAAAACTTGAGACAAACAAAGGAAGATACCACATTGCATGTTACAGAGGGCAGTCTAGTGGGATAAGTTCCCTGCAAACTAGGATCAACAGGGAAAATAAATCTGGTCCTTGCCCTCTTTGGGAGCAGGTGCATTCTGCTCTTCCCTTGGACGTTACACATCAGTGCTTTTGTGATTTCTTAAAATTATGTCAAACAGCATTCATGCAAGCAGAACACATGCAAGAATCAGGTTCGCTGAAAGCACATGCTGCTTTTAGATGCAAATAAATGGAGCAAAAAATTGATGTGTATCACCTTCATATAATACACAAATTTTATGAAAAAGAAAAACAGACCTCAGATTCCAATACCTAAGAAAATTTGTTACGGTTTGCACCATTGTACACAAACATGGCATAAGCATTCCCACCCAATTTTAAAGTTTCTCCTCTGGTTAGATAAGTCCTCTTTTATGGAGGGTTTTGTACTCCAAGCCTTTGTACCAAGCCTTACCTAAGTCTCAAAGGTCTCTCTTCAGACAATGTGCTCAATGAGTTTCCTAAATCCTACCCAACATGAAAGGCGCATCGGTCAAGACCATCGAAGTCCCGCGCGCACCCACACCTACCACGCACGTGCCATTGTTTACGTAGCTGAGGAAGCACATTTCAAGCCTGTCAAAATGCTCCAATAAGCTCCTTTACTACTTAAGAGAGTGCACAGAGGGCACAGTCAACGCAACCACCAAGGCCATAACACTTACAAACCCACATAATCACTCACCTCCCGATAGGATGCCGATAGCTTATGTACAAAAAAGCCGGCATCCACGAACCAGGCGGCCTCCCCAACCGTCAAAACCGCGCCAAAACTACGCGATTGATAGGGATGGGCACGCAATGGACAAAAGTACTCGAGTACACAGCACAAAGTACTGTGCACTCCGTAAAGAATCTACCTCCGTCCTGGTTCACATATGGGAAAACGCCTCCTTGCACAGCATTTGCTCCATGCACGGCAATGCTCTTTGTACGTACTACATCTCAGGCAAGACTGAAGTGAGTTCAGAATTATTTTGATGGCTTCTTGTGCTTATTTGCATGCACCTTCGTAATATTGCGCGGGAACAAATGCCGAAAGGCACCAGTTGAGAAAATATCTTGCATTTTCGTGCACCAGTATCAGAGCTGTCATAACGGGCAATCACCCAGCCCAGTGTGACTAGTGCACTCGCTTTACAAGCCGACGCTACTTCCACGCAGCTTTAGCTCTGCAGGTTCCTACAGCGCTCTCCTCTGTCCACGCGGCCTTCTAGCCAGCCCCTCTCGGAGCACTGCCTGAAGGCAGGTCACGATAACATAGCTGTAGAAGTGTAGTTGTATGTTTGACGAATTCAAACCACACCTGCACTGCATCCCCAAGGAAAGAACGCACTTAATGAGTCATCAGGCCGCTAAAGGAGCGGCACTTGTACGAACCAGCATCTCACGAGGCTGGGAAGAAATGAGCACCACGGTCCGATCAGTTCATTTTTTCTCGATCCTCATCCTTCCACGAGCCCACAGGAAGAATAACAGCCCTGTTGCGGGCAATCCGTACTCCACTTTCTTGCAGTCAGCATGCAGCATTCTTTGACCATCGAGTATATATATATATATATATATATATATATATATATATATATATATATATATATATATACATATATCGGCCACCAACGCACACGTTTTGCGCAATAGTTCAGCAGGTCACACAGCGAGCACCAGTCAAAAGCGCCATCGCGCCACCACACAACCCTATCCTAGCCACAAGAGCGACACCTTGCCTGAGGCCCACACCGCACGGCGGCCGGCCGGCGTCACTTTTCCCAGATGTCGCTGTTGACGGCGCGCGCCCTCTGTCGCGCCTCGTGCGGCGTCAGCGCCTCGTCGGCGCTCGGCTGCAGCGGCTGGCCGGCCGCGTCCAGCGTCCCACGCTCAAAGTCATCCGTGATCTTGCCGCTGTACACGGCGTTGAAGAGATCGCGCGCCGTGAACTCGGCCTGGATCACCTCCGGGCAGCGGTAGGAGACGTACGGCCGCAGCTGGAACGCACGGAGGGACCAGTCAGGCCGACAGGTCCGGAGCTGGGACGGTGAGGCAGGCATAACCAGCGTGGGAGGTCATTGGGCGTGGAGAGAGACCGGTCCTCTGGCAGGTCCGGAGGTCAGGCAGACGTCTTCAGTGTGGGTGTCACTGGGTGTGAGGAGGGACCGGTCCCTCCGGCAGGTCCGGAAGTCAGGCAGGCGTCACCAGCAAGGTAGGTCACTGGGTGTGAGGAGGGACTGGTCCTCTGGCAGGTCCGGAAGTCAGGCAGGCGTCACCAGCGTGGGGGTCACAAGTGTGGAGAGGGATCGGCCAACCGGGCAGACGGGAGGCAGGGACACTGAGGGCGGCACGAACGTACTCGCATGCTGATGGGCGACACTCAACTATCCATTAGGCCGTGCCGGTGCCAGCTAGAATAGAGGACGGATGCATGTCTGCGTATGCTTGAGCGTGGGTCACCGTGCCGGCGCTGCACCAGACGATGGCCTGGCCTCCCCAGTCCTCCCCGCCGGGGTGCAGAAAGCTAACATGGGTTGCCTGTGTGAATCCGTATGGGGCGGGGAATAGGAACTTTCGGCTGATCTTGCTAAAACTACATAGCATGACACAAACAAGGCATGACGGAGATAGGCGCCGAATTGTGCAACAGATTTAAAAGTCTCCTGCTATAAAACGCTTCTTTCATCACTTGAATCCAATATTGGCAGCAGAATCACGACCATCCACTGCACGGCATCCCGAGCGCGTCAGCCCGGACCCACAGCTGACCTTGAATCCGGTCAGGTCGGGCACCACCAGCTCCGGGATCATCTCGGGGATTTTCACAAATTTGCTATCGCCATCTCGCCGCGCTCCGATTGGCCGGGTGCCGTTGTCTGGAGTATGTCACAACAGGTCAGTCGAAGCAAATCACGCCTTCCTGCACGCCAATTGGACAGGAAAAGGAAACTAGTGCTGTCAATCAAGAGCGATTCAGCGAGAGTGGTCTGATGAGTTTGCGCGACGCAATGCAAGGGTACAGGGCTGATCTGGACCTGGAATCTCAAAAGGTCATGGGATCCGATCCCACGATCCTACAACCATAGACCTCTATGGAATCCTGGATTTCCTTGGCATCTGGGTTTAAGTCTGGCAGAGGTAATCACAATTCGAAAAAAAAATATTTCCAGTCGCATGCACACACCCGACACTGCATTTCCTTCGTGAGCAGGGTGTGGTTTTCTATTCAGTTGGGGGGGGGGGGGGACTTTGAGGGGAAAGTGGGTCACATGTGTCTGAGTATACCTTCCTGGGTATATGTTAAAAAGCTTAGCAATTTAAAACACTTGACTACCATGGCTTTTGAGCCTGTTCCGAACGTTACTCCAAAAACACAGTCTGTAAAAAAGGTATTTAACCATTTTGTTACCTACCGGCAGCACCCGCGCGCCCGCGATGGCGACACACGAAATCGCCGTCCGGGCATGACTATTTGTGACCCCCGGAAGTTCTGCTGCGATTGTGGTGTATGTGTCTTAATCTCTGACTCGTGGGCAACGGCAGTCTGTCAACCGCGGTCCGAGGATGTTACAGTGTTGCATGAAGAAAACCGTATGGTATTGGTTACGTCATTTACCTGGTATATCTATATCGGGAAACTCCTTTCTAAATGAGACTTCCTTAGCTCTGGCTTGCTTGAAAGCCAGAGTGCCGCGCTTAGCACCAATCAAGAACTTGCGAAAATTCCTTTTGCCAAGGAACGCCAAGCTTGTATGCAGACCCCTGCATTGATGAAAATTCACCAGTTGAAGGGAAGAAGGTGACAACATTTTCACATTGAGGTTTTTCTTGCTGGTGAAAATCAGCACACCTGAAAAACAAGGAAGACATGTTGGTTACTAGAAAGAACAAAGGTGAGGGACAAATATGAAACAAAGGTGAGAGTGAAATAATAAAACAACATGCAAGCTGCTACAAACAGCTTATATTTAAGATATAAGCAGCTGCACCCATTAATTTGCGTTCCACAAAATCACTATTGCACCGAACATAGAATCGCACCACAGGCACTGGACCTTCACATGCATACCACCGGTGCACACACCTAACATAGGAGCCTTCCATTACAGGAACGGCATCCTGGGAAGGCCTGCTTTTGGGATCCTGACACATAGACCCTGCACTAAATTCAACTGGGCGTAACAACTGGGTCATGTGGAATAAGTAAAGGATTTGGGTGAATTGTGATAGCTGATGCTTTTTTGATTAAGTAGGTCTGGTGACGTGCCTGAAATCAAACCTCACCCAATAATTGGCAAGCAACCAAAACACCCGGCACACACAGAAACGAGCACGCTTCAGCAGATGAATGCAAAGCTAACAAAAGACTAGACTTTGTAGACTTCTACTTCTGAGCTTCAGAAAGTTGTGAGACTTTCAAGCCGGACACGAAGCAAAGGCAATGACGCGAAGCCGAAGCTGAAGCTGAAGCAAAGCGAAAAAGATGATTTCGAAACCAAAGCCGAAGCAAGTGGCTTCACATTTTTAAGACGCGAAGCCAAGTCTGACGCCAGTGGCTTCGAACTTTTTACACGCGAAACCGATGCCGATGTCGGCGACTTCGAACTCAAGAAACGCGAAGCAAAAGTACCCAAAACCCATCGGTTCGAAATCACAAGGGAGCCGAAGGCAACCCAGTGTACAAAGTTGTTTTGTGGAACCAAAACCGTTTTCGCGCCTGCTTCAAATGTATGGGATTAGGAAACGTCAGGCCTTTGCAGTTATTGAAAAAATTGGTAGCATTACGAAGAAATCTGTTTGCACTACCACGAAATTGCTTCTCTGGTCATTGCCAGTTTTTTGGGCCTAAGAATGACAGATTGGTTTTGGCATTTAGTCACATATACATGTTAGCCCCGAAACGATGTGTAGTATATTGGAGTCACAGGACGGGCAATACTTTTCGTGAAGTAACGTTACAATCGCAGCGACAAATTAGCGTGGAAGAGCCGGGGCCGGCAGTATAGGTCGCATGGTGGCGAAGACTAAGACAAAATTCAAAATTGCTCGAAGCCCTAAGAAGAGGCGGACTTCGAGTTATGCTTGGTCATAGTCACGAATGACCACGACCAAAGCCTGAAATGTCGAGTTTTGTGAATTTGCCACATTTCCTTAATAACATTTAACCAGTTTCTCTAGGTATGTTGAAAGTCACTTGCTGGCGGAAAATACGAACACCCAACTCAACATGATGATAAACAGTACTATATTTCTTAGTTTCACAATTTCGATTTTACCCTTGTTATCAAAATTTCCGTGATCTAGGGGAAAATGTTGGACTCGTAATCCAGCGGAACAGGTTACGAGCCCCAGGCCGGGCGCATTGTTTGGCCCGACTGAAATGGAAAGGTCAGCTGGCGGATGGCCAGCGAGGGTCTATCCAGGCCCGTGGCGGCGTGCCGCAACTGTTAAACACGTTGCACAACACGTTAAACCCTCCGCGCTCCTGTCTGGCCAAAGGGCAGAGGCAAAACTATCCGCTGAACTGAATAGCAGGACTGAGTGATAGGTTCCAGGTACATGCGCGGCCGGGTGCACGGTACGAGCTATGCTCAGCAGGTACTCTGAACCCAAAACCAGGCATACAAACCATTCAGAGTGTAATTGTTAAGTTTCTAAGAGCTTAAACAGATTAGCTTTATCAGCGGTGTCCGTCCCCATCACTGGGTCAGTGACAGGGCCTGCCTTCGAACCCAGGGTGGCCGGTGGCTGAGCTGGAGCAGCCTTTATGCTCACTATCTAAATGCTACAGTGAGTGTGAAATTGGCCCAGACTGAGATAACCTGTGACTGGCAGTAACAACTGCTCATGGTCAGATGAGGTGAGAGCGAGGGGTGGGCCATGTTGGGTATCATGGCATGTTCAACTTCTGCAGCAAAATTCTATCATTGAGCTCCAGATTTCCCGAATGGATGGTGGGGTTACATGGTTCATGCAACAACCACAGCTTAGCATGGTCTGTGACCTCACAAATCCACACAAACAAATAAATTTTGCAACATTTAGCTTGATAATACTTCAATAGCATGTTAGGTATCATTTTTGCTTTGCAATTTATCTTAAAGATAGCAGAGTGAAGGAAGCTGCACAAGCATAAAATAAAGTACTTCATTGGGAAGCTAACTAACCCTAAAATAGACGTGAAAAACTGAGACCGAGCACCAATGAAAATTGATACCAGGAAGCAATTAACAAATTAAATAATATGCACAACTTAAAAGGTGTTTTGCAAATGTTACACCAGGATGCCCCAATATTGCATCACACAGATAATATGAAAAGGAATATTTTACATTGGAACACATTGAAGCAAGCATCAGATATGATGAAACAGGCTCACTCGTAACCAACAGCATACTTTATAAGTGAGAGATAACTATGGACACTGTTGTTAGATCCCATGGACATTGTCCATAGAGGATTGTACTGTCCTGAACAGCACAATTCCATCATGTAAATATGCTCAACATGTCACAGCTTCATTACATCATTATACCTTGCACAAATTTAACTGATAGCCAATTAACAGCTGCTAAATTCATAAATCTTGCTAATGAATGCCAGACATGAATACCCATACAAGTACATTTTTCTTAGCCCTAATTGCTACATGCCTTATGGAATAACAAGATTAAAATGACACTATCATGACTTCACAAACGCCAAAGTGACATCAAAAAAATTTTCCTCTTAGAGACTTATACAGTTTTGTGGGCATGTTGCTCAGAAACTACCAGCATTTAGGTCTTAGAAGGGCGGGATTGTGAACAGCACTGAAAGTTCTTCCAGGTAGGCATTTAACATCCCATACTATATGGATCACTCCCTTTAAAGGACAGGAACTAGACTGAAAAATGCATACTAGCCTGTCCACGTCTTATGTCGCAGGAGCACAGCAGTAACGGCCTCAGATTATGCACACTATATCAGGATTCTGGAAGTCTGGTGCAGCCACTACCAGTCTCAGTGCATGGAGAGCCAATTTGTTGTATGGGACAGGAACAAGAAACACGAACACCCAGGATGGAACACATCACAGCTTGAAATATGCTTGCATCTACCTGAAAAATGTCTGCACACCTACCCCACGGCTATATTTTCTCCACAGTTTCTCACAAAATCCAGGACCAAATAAGTTGCAATACTTCACAATCGAAATATCTGCGCCACGCGCTCCTCAGTGAAAGGCGGCCAAATTTAATGGACACTAGTAATTTGGCATTGAAATGACACAAAAATCTAGTATGACCAGTTTTATTCGGATAGTTATACTAAAAAGTATACCGCACTCCACACTTTGATGTTAGCCAAAAGGCTAAGAAGCGATATATACTAAACTTCACGTGCGTCTGAAAAAGCTCACCAGCGCCATAAGTGTAGACTTTTGTTCGCTCTGTCTGTGCGTGTGTGACCCTCGCGTGTGCGTGCGCGCGTGTTTCTCTCCGCCGTTCTCTCGGAAGAACGCGGGAGGGGGCATATCCCTTTGCGATTGTAGTCCGCTCTGCCTCTGCTCGCTTCTGTTCGTGTGGGCTGGACGGTCTTAGATCACGCAACTCTTTCTATGCTTTTGGGCATTTAACGACCATTGACTGGTTGCGTTCAGCTGGCTCCTGCTATCGAAGGTGAGCTGCTGGGATTATAATAAATATTTTCAGGTATTTTAAATAGATATCCGGGTCAGGGTGTACTTTCCTACCTCATGTTACAAAAGAGGGTCAGGGTGTACTTTCCTACCTAACGTTAGGAAAAATCATTGTACACCATTTGTCGTGTTTAAGGCAGGACATATAAATAATCACAAAACAGATAGATTCATGCTCTTAGCTTCAAATTTTTTACAATTACAATGGCGAGCTCCTGAGTGCCGCACATTCACGGCAGCCGCAACACTGGCACCCCACAACAAAACCAATTCTGAAACTCTGCATTGGTCATTGGCCATTATGTAGTTGCAAAATTGTTGGCTGGCTAGCTACCATGACCTACAACATTGACTAGTTATCAACCTGAAACTGGCTAGCCACATCTAGCCTTGTAAAGAAATCTGTTTTATTTCATTTTTATGTGCGCCTCCCTTGCAACCATTGACAGGACTCTGGTTTTTGAGGGCCCAGTTGACTAGCAGAAGGATCAGCAGGGGTGGACCCAATGTTGCTGCTCAGTTTAGGGGCATGTGGGCTTGAGATGCAAGAATGCATGTGATGACAATTAGATCATTATGTTTCAAATCTTGGTGAAGCTGTGTGAGCATATAATTCTATCCAAAAGAGTTTTAAGTATATGGTTAAGAGCAATATGTATGTTTTATTAGCTCTTTTATTAGCTCTTTTTATTAACTCTTTCCTTTTTTACAGATGGTGCGATATTGTGAGCAGACCACTACCTTCCAGCATCCTTGGGATCAAGTGGTCCAGGCATTCTGGCACAGATACCCTAATCCCCACAGGTATGTTTGTTCAGGCACTACTGGTTAATTCATCCCTTGTAACATCATTGTGTATGAAAAACATCAGTCTATGTGGATAGACCTCATCATGTGAGAGCTGATGGTGTGTTGCAGAAGTGATAGGTTTGCATGCTCTGAACCTCATCAACCATCACTATTCCGCAGCATGCCTGGTCTTGGTTTGCCCCTGCAAGCTTGACCCAAGTCCTGTTCATGTCCTGTTATTGATGATGTGAGCATGATGGCCAGGGTTGGTCCAGCAACGATGGCGGCCAGGGCGCCGCTCGC